CTTTTGACTATGATCAGTACGCATTTATAGCTCCTAACCCCTGAAATTTTTACAAAATACGCATTCTAATCCTCTAACTTCAAGTCAGTTTTTAAAATTTTAATTGGCTCTTTTATTAGTTGTATCAAATTGTTCTCTGTCTTTGTCTGCTTTACATCCTTAACATACTACATGTCTATTTAAATAATCTTCTTCATATCTACGGTTTAATTTGATTTCTTTCTCACATATATATACTACTTTTTTGCATTAATAAAATGAGTAACGTATTTATGTTTAGCCAATCACTCTTTACCATATTTCCAATAAAACATTATGTATGCAATACAGAAAATATTTTTTTTCAAAAAAAAAAAAATTATTTTAAGATAATCGTTAAATAAAATTAAAAATGTAAAATTATTACAAAAAAAGGAAACTTATTTTCAAAATGTACCAAAAAATAAGCAAAACCAACATCTTACCATCCTAAAATCCAATTAAAATTACGCAAAATTAAATTCTAACCTTATCAAAATTTTTTGATGATTGTACGTATTCCCAAATTCTAACATATTGATAGCTACTAAGATGACGACACTTCTTCAGTTCCTACCTATATTAATATTGTTCAGGGTCCTTTTTAGGCTGATAAATCGTTTACAATGAGGTGGGTATTCTCCATTAGAAATTGTTTGAAATGAGGTAGGTGTCCCTGTTGGGATTGCACAACACTAAAAAGTTCTCCTAGCGGTTGGATTGCACAACACTAAAAAGTTCCTGGAGGTCTTTTTGAAGTAGGTTTATTATCCATAGTGTGTAGTCAAATAGGAGAAATTGAATTTTGTGTATTTTTGATAGCGCTAATGGTATTTGGCTTTGGGATGCTTCAATCTTTAAATGTAATGGTATGCTTCGCTGGGTATGTATAGCATAATTGACTTTACCTTGTTTGAGATATAACTTGGAAAAGTAGCTGTTGTTATTTATATAGAAAGGGTATTAAGTTATAATCTTAGCATTTCTTTTTATATATTTTCAGAAGATTATTTGTTCTTGTATTAGTTAGTTCTGCACTTTGTTATGATCCTTTCTTGAATATCTGATATTCTCTAAAGTAACTGATGGCAAAAATTAATAAATTCAAGTACAAGCTTTATTAAACTAAAAGTGTGACTTATGACCTGTTTTAAATATGTCTGGGATTCTAGTAGTACATATAATTGACATCTAATATTAATAATTCTGCT